ATGATCAAGGTCTTTACTCTCAAGCTGACAGTCTAGGGAGGGAGAAATACCAGTAATAACATAGTAGTAGCTAATTTTTGAGTGTTTATCATGCTAGGTGCTATAGGAGACGATATTTCAAGGCTCTTTGAAGTTGGCAGTCAGAAATAACAGCATTTTCCACACAAATGTGTGATTTAGATATTATGGAAAAGAACCAAAGGCTTGGGAGTCAGACAATACCTAGAATATTAGCAAACCCAGACGCGTGAGAGCCTGCTTACTTTAGAAACTGGGTGCCGCACTTGGGAGAAGGCATGGGATGTGCTCCAGGAGCAGACCTCAGCGGGGGAGTAACTTGGGGTTCAAAGTGGGCACCCCTTCTAGGGCATGAGGGGCCAGCCATGAACTGACTGCCAACCTAAGCATCCTTTTTCTCTAATCCGAGCAAGTCAGCTCTGGCTACAAAATGTACTGTACAATGATGCTTCTGTGAGAAATGCTCAAGGATGAAAGCAAATGAGTGTGCACAGCATTCATTTTTAGTGCAAAAGCACAATCGCTTCTTGAAGCATCAGTTGCTGAAAAACGCGATCCTTGTCGTCAGAAGCTTCAGATCCCCTACATCCTTCCCTCGACCTATTCTTTTTCTCCAGAATGAGATGCCTCCTCACGCTAGCATTAGCCCAGAGTTCTCCCCTCAGCTGTCTCTCGAGATGATATCTCTGCTTTGCATTTATTTCTTTTTAAAACTAAAATCTAGGGACAAAGGTGAGCAGAATCATCTTGGTCTCTTCCTATGAGCTGTTCATTAGGGTGCCCTTAACCCACACCTCTTGCTTCTCTTGACTCACAAAGAACTCTTGATTACTTCAGAGATAGTGAAACTAGTGTGCGTGAAGTCACTTTTTGTGTTATTCGATGAAATATTACCCTTGACCTTCTTGGAATATTTTAGTTCATTTCAGTACACATTTTACCTATCATTTAAAGATTTTAAAAGCTTTAAAAATTTCTAACACTATAAGAAGGAATGAAAAAGGGACACTGTAAGGATGACTTTTGCAAATTAGTCCTACAAAAATGAAGGAAATTTAAACAAAACAGACTTTTGTTTTGCTCATAATCCTACCCCAACCCCGGAACGATTTCGTTTATCTAACTTTTCTTCCAGCTTTTACTTTCATCATTGTAAGCTCTTGTTTTTCTATCCCTTGAGGCTTTTTGTAAACACTTTTCCATTTTGTAATATATTTGTTTTTAGTGTTTGTGTAATATATTCCATCCAAGTGATATTCCATAATTTATTACCCATTCCTTTAGTGCTGGACATTAAGGTTATTTCCATTTTCTCTCTATTATAAATAATTGGAGCAAGAACATCTTTGTATATATAGCTTTCTTCCTACATCTGAATTATATCCTTAGGATAAATTCCCAGGAGTGGGATTAGTAGGTCAAAGGGTATGAACAGCTTTATGGCTTTTCATATTTATTGCTACATTGCCCAAAGGGTCATTCTAATTTACAGCGCCACCTGCAACACATGAGAGTAGCTATCCCTCCCAGCCCTTCCAGCACTGATTTCTTCAGTCAGTAGTTTGGGGCAAATTTAATAGGTACAAAAGGATAACTAGTGACTGTTTTTAATTGTTAATTTAAAAAATAATTATCAATTTTCTTCTTAAGTATGTTTATTGTATTCTGTTTCATATGGTTTGCTTTTCACGTAGGAGAATTACATTTTTTGACACCAGGTGGAATTTAAAATATTTTATCATGAAAATGTCACATTTTCTCAGAACAAAGAGCATAATGATGAATCATTACCTAGATTCAACAAGCAGCAAGATTTGGCCACATCTGCCTTATCTACACCTTCTTTTCCTTTTATTTTTTCCTTTGTGCAATTATTTTAAAGCAAATCCCAGACATTCTGCATGTTTCCTGTATACTTCATTAAGCATCAATAAAACATGGACTTTTTCTTCTGTAATCATAATGCTTATTGCCACACCTAACAAAATTAATGATAATTCCTTGGTCCCATTTAATACTAGTCTGTAATAACATTTTCCAACATGTCTTAAAAATTGTCTCTTAACTGATATTTTGTTCCAGTCAGCATACAGAGGTCCACTGTATTTGGTTGTTAGGTTTCTGAAGTCCTTTAATCTAGAGCATATGCTCTGTTTACTCCCCTGGCCCCCGCAACTCAAATTTACCCCCAGCCAGTGACTTATTGCAGGAACTAAGTCAGTTGTCCTATAAACGTTCCCGCATTCTGAATTTGACTTTTTGTTTCCTTAATAGCTCAATTAGATTCCGTTTCAACTTTGTTTTGTCCGGGGGGGCAAGAATACTTCAAGGGTGGTGCTGTGTGATTCATTTCGTATTGCTCTGGGGGCACACAATGTCTGGTGATCCCACTTTGGGTGATGCTAAGGCTGATCGTGGATCAGGTGGTGACAGCCCACAACAAAGTCGTAAAGTCCCTCGCCGGCTTTGTCTCATCTGTCCGTGAAGCTTGCTTGAGTCAGTTATTTCCTAGGGGATCGCACAATGGTGATTTTTGAATTCTCTCATTCCTTCCCCACTTATTAACTGGAATTCTTCTGCAGAGTAAAACTTCTTTCTTCATAAACTGGGACTTTTTAGTAATCTCAACGTGCAGTTTGTACAAGTAAGGCAGGATAAAAGCTTTTTTCTTTTATCCAAATTGCCAAGCTTCTAAGTAAGGAGTTGGTTCCACTGTCACTTCTGAGGAGTTGTCGTTGCTGCTTTGTTTTTGGTTTTCTTTTTTAAGAATAATAAAATACTCAGGGTTTTAAAAAATATATGTTCCATGTGTTTTACTCATTATTCTTTTTGATGCTCACATTGTCCCATCTTTGCCCCAAGGGAGACCCTTCATGTCCTTGTTTTCAGGTAGAATAAGTGTCTTAGGCTCATCTAGTGTATTTTTTAAAAGAAAATAAAAGATTATGAATTCATACTGACACTTTCATTTCAAATCTAACAAAACTTTTTTTTTTTTTTACTTCTTTGATTTTGTACTTGTATTTCTTTTTCTTACACTAAAAATCTTGGTTCCAAATGTTATTATACTACAATCTATCAAATAGTTTAAAAATATAATACCAATATTACTACTAAAATTTTCCCAGTGAGTGCAACTGTTTATCTTTAGAACACATTCCACTAAAAGCATCCAGTCAAATCACCTTGTCCTAACAACCCTTGAATTAATTCGTTTAACCAGTTTGATATACGGTTAAGTTCTTTCTGTTCTGTTTGTTTTCAAATTTTAGGATTCACTTTTTTCCCCCTTTTTGGTTTTTATTTTTTGAATCTGTAAAATGTGCTTTCAAAATTGAACTTATGTAACAAGGTATTATCACAAAAGTCTTTGTTCTGTTCTGTCTCCTCCATCTAATTTCCTCCCTCTCCCTGCTGGTCAATATTAATAATTAAGATTTGTTTGATCTTTGCAGTGTTTCATTTTGCAAATATATATTCATTCATATGTCTTCACCAGTTTTACACCAAAGCCGGCATACCATATACTCCTTACAATATATCGTATCAGCGTTTTAGAGTTCTTCATTTTTTCTTGAAGGTTACATAGGCATCCATTGTTAAGATGAACCATAGTTTATTTATCAGGTACTTATTGATGGAGATCTGTTTGTGTGTGTGTGTGTTTTCTAAAAAACAAAACTCCAGTGTCCAAGTCATTTCATATTTTGGCTAATGATTCTTTGGGATCTATTCCTAGAAATGGAATTGCTGGGTCAAAGGTTAAATGTAATTGTACACTTCTTTTTTAAAAAATTAATTAATTTTTGGCTGCCATTAGGTCTCCGTTGCTGCATGCGGGCATTTTCTAGTTGCAGTGAGCGGGGGCTACTCTTCGTTGTGGTGCGTGGGCTTCTCACTGCGGCGGCTTCTCTGGTTGCAGAGCACGGGCTGTAGGCACGCGGGCTCAGTAGTTGTGGCTCACGGGCTCTAGAGCACAGGCTCAGTAGTTGTGGCGCACGGGCTTAGCTGCTCTGCGGCATGTGGGATCTTCCCGGACCAGGGCTGGAACCCATGTTTCCTGCGTTGGCAGGCAGATTCTTAACCACTGTGCCACCAGGGAAGTCCCTACTTGTACTTCTTTTAGTTATTGCTAAGAGTCCCTTCTATACGAATTGTGTCATTTTGCACAGAGAGGGATTTTTAAAAAAAGGTTTTGCAGATGCTCAAATGTCATCTGAGAGGTTGTTGGAAAATTATTGCATTCTTCAAAATCACATGTTATTTATCGAACCTACACACTGTTCCCACTATTGTCCAAGACATGGCCTGGTAGAGAGCACCCTGGTTCCTGCTTTTAGGGAACCTACGATATGTCTGTGGAGACATGATATGTGAATGAAAAACAAAGTTAGAGTAGTCCAAGATAGATATAGTATAAAAACAAAGGTGAAAACCCAGCTCAAGTCTCTGTCTTTCAGAAGCCTTCCCTGCTTAACCCAGGCCATGTGAGTCCTCAGTCCTCTGAATTTCATTATTACTTTCAGTGACAGTGACCTTTTTCCCAGAGCAAAACTTTTGACACTTGGTTGAACAAATATGAATATACGAACAGGAACAACAGAACAGAATGTATGAAATGCAGGCTGCTGCATAAATTCCACTGAAATAATTTTTTTACGTAGAGTTATGTCTGCATTTCCCACAGCATCGGTGGGATGTTACTAAGGGTTACACGGCAAAATCAGTGCAGAAATGTTAGGCTAAACAGCCCTAATGAAACAACTCCACAACCACATATGATGTCCCAAGCATACCCGGGCACAGAACCACCCCCACCCCCCCGCCTCCGTGAAGCACCTCATGTTCATACTGTTCCACGGAACACAAAAGAACCAATGTGTAGTTTCTATTTGAATGAAAACCAAAGGCTTCTCTTCCAGTTGATTAACTTGTACAAATTCTGCATTTTTGATAACAATTTCCAATTTGTTTCTTTCTAGATTGAATCACTGAAGAAAAAGGTGCAGCAGAAACAGCTCTTAATATTGCAGCTTTTAGAAAAGATATCGTTCTTAGAAGGAGAGGTAAGAAGCTGTGTTTCTTTAAGCTGGGGTCTTCCCTATCATTAAATTTTATGTTGCTGAGCCTACCACCGACACTTAATTAAAAATATGGCTATTTCCTGGCCTTATAAAATTGATTGAAGGTTAACTGCCAACACTGAAAATGAGGTTCTGACAGCTAGTTTTTCTTTACCATCTGACTCTCCTCATTCCCCCTTGCTGCTCACCTCTGCTTTTTGGCTCCCATTTTTCTTATTCAGGAATTTTCTTAGCAAGTCTGATAAGCTGTTGATGAATACTGATAACTCCCCACATCTGTGTTGTATGTTATAATTTGCCAAGTATTTTCACATACATTTCTCAGTGATTCTCTCAACAACTTTAAGCAAGGCAAGACAAGGATTATTATCTCCATGTTAACCAAAAAAAAAAGAAAAAGAAAAAAGGCACAGAGAAGGCAGGTGGCTTTTCTCAAGGTCACACAGCTTAATACCAGAGCCAGGCTGAGAGACGGACTCCTCATTCCAGGTGACTTAATTTCACCTGGAACTTTTAAGATATTTAGTATTCCTGACTTTCTGGTCTTTTGAAAGGCATTTTGGGGATTTTGTGGAGGTTCTAGGGAAGGAAATTATGAAGTTGGAAGAACCTTAAGCGCTTAGGCGTTAATAGAAGGGGAAGCCTTCTGTTTTCTCCGAAGACTATTTATTAAGAACTTGGCATTCAGCCTCTTCCTTCTGAGCCTCTGTGAATCTCTCCTTGTCTGTGCCCCGCTTGTAGTCCCTCCCCAGTGAGAGACAGCCCAGGAGAGAATAATAAAATAAGAAGACAGGAAAGTAATGACAGTAATTAAGCTCCTAGTGTGTGTTGGGCACTTTTACTTTCCATATCTTTTGTATAACCTAGAGGTTAAGAGTGGAATCAGACTTGCCCAAATTTGAATGCTAGATCTGCTTATTAGCTGGCTGACCCTAGGTAAGTTTCTTAGAATTAGAAATTGAGGATGATAACTGTACCTACGTGTGTGTCCATGCGATGAGAGTGCATGCAAAGTGCCTGATATGCCTAAGCACTCCATCATTTTCTCTCTTTATTAAGAGCGATGCCCTATGAGTTAGATTATGTTTCCTCCATTTTGTAGCTGGAGAAACTGAGGTTCAGGGATGTTAAGGAATCTGCCCAAGGTGACTGTTAGAAATGGGTAAGCCTGAGCTCTTAACCACCATGTTTATAGGGATGGGGAGCAGTGTCATTTACTCTGTGTGGTGGGGGGGCTGCCTATAAAAGTCATAAGCAGTAGTCCCTCGTGGCCCATGGGGACCTGGCAGCAGACTCAAAGCCCAGGAATCTCAGTGTCCTGACCGCTGAGTAAGTGGACACTTGTCTTGTCCCACTGTTTTCCCCTCTGCAGTCACTGAGTCCACCTCCAGCTTTATGAATGGACATTTCTGTTTCTAAGATTGCCCTCTGAAATCACAGCTCCCTGGGGGAGGAATCATACTTTCCCAGTGAGAGTCAGAGAGTGAGTGTCCGGGTGAAAGTCATGGGTCCCGAGAGAGTCTGGTTCCAGGAGGGAGAAAAGAGACGCCAACAGGAGAGGCGGCACGTTACCCAAGACAGTGCCCACCCCTCTCCCCTTCCCCTGGCTGTGCTACTCAGGCCTCCTGGGAGATTAGGAAATGTCCAAGGGGTACTCTGCATTGAGAAGAGCCTTCCTTACACATACGTGTGCTTTAATATTTATTAAATTCCTTTCTTCTCTTAGTTTAGGTTGCCCAGACTCAGATGTGGATATGAGTCCACTAGCTTATTTGGGAGGTGATCCCAGGAAGCCCCAGTGGGAGAGGGGAGAAATGAGTCAGGGAAAGGTCGAAGGCCTATAATGGGTGCCTTATGGAGGTTACCACTGTGGACAGCTGCTGCTCCCTTGCCCTGGGCATCTCTGGAAGATGATGTGCACTGGCCTCTGAGTTACCCTTACCAAAAGGTCAGAAAGCTAGGGCATTTATCCATTAACTCCCATCAGCAGCTGGTGAGGGCGGCTCCTGGGGGTGTGTGGCAATTCGGCCTGCCCTTGGACAGAGCCAACTGGGGTCCAGGGGGCAGAGGAAGCCCCCGGGGA